CCCAGAGCCACAAGGTAAAAAAGAGATCTTCAACTATGCACATTCATCTCTTAGAAATGTTATCGAGAGGTCGTTTGAAGTTTTGAAGATGAAGTGGAGGATGTTGTTGCAAATGCCAAGTTATCCACCTCATAAGCAAAGCCAAATTATCGTTGCATGCATGGCACTCCATAACTTCATTAGAACAAGTGGAATAGTGGATAGGGACTTTGATTGTTGTGATCATGATGAGAACTATGTTCCACCTGAAGCATCGGCCTCTTAGCCACGTACTCGTCAAACGCCGGCAAGGGATGAATCTACAATGATGAATGCTTTCCGTGACTCGATTGTGTTAGGATTGATCTCCCACCAGTTAGGCCCAACAGCCTAACTGGGCCTTGTCCTCGCGCCCTGATCGGGGGCGCCCAATCGTACATGGTTGGTGGGCCCCCGTCGCACAGCGCTATAAAGGAAAGGTGGGGGCCGGGGTCGTAGTACGAGGTTCACCGCGCCGCCAGTCACCCCACCGACATCCTAACCCTAGACCCAATCTTGAGAATGGGCGCTGCCAGCGACGGGAAGCACCACCGATGCCGGCAACGCCACCCCGACTCACACGTCGCCGCCGAGGATGCCACAGCGCCGACTCCCTCTCCACCGAACGTCGCTGCCGGCACGCAGATGGCGTTTGTCAACAAAAACCTGGCCGGAGCTTCGACCACTAAGGCTTTTGATGGTTTGCAACCTATCACCCCCTTTCTCTCTGTCTCTCTGTGATCCTGAACACCTATTCCTACTACCAATACATCCCGATCTGATGAACATGCCTAAAAACGAAATCTAACAGATTGCCCTTGGTTTGTTAAACCGATCATGACAATTGGAATGGTGTACTTCAAATGTAACGTGTATGAGTAATTTGTATAGTTGAGGACAATTGAGTTGTATACTTGAACTATTTAATAATTGTGCAATAAAGTGTAAAATTTGATTGTTTCAAAACACTGCCGGGCATGGAGCAAGTGCTACCAGCAACAATGGCGAGCAGCAGCAGCAAGGGCGATCAGCAGCGGCCCAGCATGCAGTATGCATGGCTTTGCATGAGTGACAATTAATGAACCAAATCATGCATTAAATTAAGACAAATCAGTCTTTGTTTGGTACAGTGCTAAAGTTTTGTTATGCATCTAAACACCAAGATATAAAGTTTGAATGCCAAAAAATTTACAGCAACAAATTAGAGCCAAAAATTATGCCATTCCAAAAGCATCTAAACACCCGCTCAGTAGACCAGGCCTTCCACCAGGTGCTTTGAAAGCTTCAACTTCAGCTTAGATGACAAGCAAAATCAGGACGTCAACAGGAAAGCAAGCTAAGAGAAAAAAAAAACAGTCAACTTCTCAAATGACCCTTCGATCTCCATCGCGTAAGTTTGCCGCCAAAAAAAACTTGTAGCCATTCCTAAATTGCAACTGAGCCCAGCAACTTGCAACTGAGCAAGTGTTATCATCACAGATCCTGTACAGACTTGGAAATTCTAGTTGCAGTGGAATATTGGTACTGGTAGCCCATACATCCTCCCAGATATAAGGTATTTTCCCCATTATTAACACTGGAAACTAAACCCCAACTGACAGCCTTCCTTGTTTCAAGCACCCCTTTCCAAAATTGTATTATTGAAAACACATTGGGTGAAGCATTTGCTTTTGAAATATTTGTTCTTCAACAAATTGTAACAAAGGGCTTGATTTTAACAGGGCCCTGCAAAAAAAATTCTCTAAGAAGTTTATGTCGGATCTGTAAAAAGGTGAACGCCACTAGGCAGTATGCACTAGTACCATGTACAGGCCTCAGCCCCGGTGCTGATGTGGCCTGTCTGCCTCCACCCCTCAGGCCTCGGCCACCACCAGTCCACCACCGCGTTGCCTTTGCCGCGAGCGACCGTAGCGAGGAGATTGCAATGGCGGCCTCCACTGCTTCCCGCCTCTCGCCCCCTCGCTTCCGCGCTCCTTCCCCGTCTCTTCATCCTCCAATCCGCCGCTCGCGCTTCTCCCCTATTCGCGCAGCCAAGTACGTCCCTGTCTTTGGTCCCCCACACTCTCTCCGCTTTCACTCTGTTGCACGGATATTCTCAGATGTTTGGATTCTCCCTGTTCTTGGGAGGCTGGAGTAGTGTTTGTATCAGTAACTGAAACTAGAGACTACGAGATTGCAATTCAGTTTTATTCCCGCCCATTTTATGCGCCTTCATCTATATGCAATTCAGTTTAGCAGGACTTCTCCTCGTATGTGTGCCCAGTGATGTTTATACTTTTATCTATGTGCGTTTGCTTTGATGGCCTCTAGTTTTGGTCACTGTCAACTCTTGTTGTTGCCATCGAGGTGCAAGTTTAAGTTTCTTGCTTCAGTTCAGCTAACTAATGGCACAATTATAAGTTGTAGCTGCAGCTAATTATAGCTCTTCAAGTTATTGTAGTCTATTTCATCTGTCAGCAACTCGGTATTCAGCCATATATGAACCTGTAATTGTAGGTTGGAAGCTGTGTTGTCTATTGGTACTCATCTAATCCCACACCCAAGAAAGGTTAGTTATTCATTTTAACCACATAATTCAAATTGCTCTGGGAACATTGTTTGTTTTTTCTTAATCCTTTTTGCAATTGAGCTTGCCGGACATCCATTGTATTTTTTATATTTCGCAGGCTGCAAGTGGCGGAGAAGATGCTTTCTTTGCCAATAGCGATGCTGGCGGAGTATTTGCCATTGCAGATGGTGTCTCGGGGTATGCCCATCTTTGCTGCAACAAACTATTTCTCCACACAAAAGAAGTGCTGCAGTGAACTGTCAGTGTTTTTTTTTTGATAGGCAATCAGTGCCTTTTACTTCTGAGTGTTTGTAGCACTTTCAATAAACATATGTTGTTTTCAGTAATATGCATTAACACATGGTTTTTATCCTGCTAGTCATTCTCTTATCTACTGACAGATGGGCAGAAAAGAATGTCAATCCAGCTCTATTCTCTCGAGAGCTCATGAGAAACAGCTCTAATTTTTTCAATGATGAGGAGGTGTCTCTTGCTAAACCTCAGCAATATTAACATACACCATTTCCTTTACTCTATGCGCCTGTAACAAATTTACGTCACATGGAAGTTGCAGGTCAGTTGTGATCCTCAGATTCTTCTCAGGAAAGCTCATGCTGCAACTTCTTCTATTGGATCTGCAACAGTGTAAGCATTGTTTCTAAAGTGTTATATGTTACGGCGTTATAGGTAACTATCTGTTCTGAGTGATACTTAAAAAGATGTACAATTCATTTCAATGGTAATAGAATCATCGCCATGCTTGAGAAGACCGGGACTCTGAAAATTGCAAGTGTGGGAGATTGTGGGTTGAAAGTTATTCGTAAAGGTAAACTTGAATAAAAACAATATACAAATTACCTATTTTGTACTAATTCTAACCAATGATTCTCTCCTCTTCTTAAATGGCATACTAGGACAAGTAATGTTCTCTATATCCCCTCAAGAACATTACTTTGACTGTCCATACCAGATAAGCTCAGAGGCAGTGGGTCAAACATATCAGGATGCATTGGTATCTACCTTCTTTTACTAGTTAATTGTTATTTATTATGTTTAGTCACCATCAATATGATACATCACTGTAAAAGTTTAAGCTTAAAGGTGGCTAGTTAATATATGAAAGTCAACCTATTAGGAAGACTCAATATTGGATTCATTAAATCACATGATCTAAATGGAAAAAGAAAAGTGTCATGTGCATATTAAGATTGCCATATCGGTATATGTGAACACCTCCTAGTTACTTTCAGATTTACTGAGCTTCACAACAATGGTCAACATGTGCATATATGATCCAGCTGTTCAATGAAGATTTCTGATTTTCTAAGTCTGTTGGTCTGTCAGGTTTGCAGTGTAAATCTCATGGAGGGTGATATAATTGTGAGTGGTTCAGATGGACTTTTTGACAACATCTTTGATCAAGAGATCGTTTCCATAATTTCTGAGTCACCAGGTGTACATGAAGCTGGTAAATTTCTTGCTTCCACAACAGGGGTCATTGGACCACATGTTCCAGCAATCCAGCCCCTTCTAAAGCCATGTTAAACTTTTACACAGCAAAAGCGTTGGCAGAGCTTGCAAGAAAACATTCGGTGGATGTCACATTCGATTCACCCTACTCAATGGAGGCCCGGAGTAGGGTGAGATAGAAACATCTCTTATGATGCTCTTTTCTACATGTCATTCTTTACATCATCAATGATGGAACATGTTGCACTCCGGATATGCAGGGTTTTGATGTCCCCTGGTGGAAGAAGATACTTGGAGCCAAACTAATAGGCATGCATAAGCTCTTTATAAGATGCCATGCTCTTTATGTACAACAGCAAGATCAGTAAGCTCATTGGTGCCCAAATTTGTAACTGTAGGCGGTAAGATGGACGACATCACAGTCATTGTCGCACAAGTGAAGACAGTAGTGGTCCCAGAGGACGAGGTAGACCTACGAAACCACTCAACTTTTTGATACAAAAGCAACACCATTTAATCTTTTTATCCTTTCGGTGATGTGAATATGTGCTATTTCAGGGTGGCGACACGGAAGAACAAAAGGGGAATGAGCAAGGTGCTGCTGCTGTGGGTGCATCTGCTGAATGAAGAGTTCTTGGACCATCATCATTTTCATTCTCTTCATTCTTCTTTTCTGTGACTGTATTATACTGCACATAAAATAATTTAAGCAACATAAGTTTATGTCATTGTGTGTAGCTGTGCATATATACTCCTCCCTCCCAGATTGGGTTTAAATATCAATGAAAATATGCAGTCAAGTTTTGGTACACATCAGCCTAGGGTCTTGTGTTCACACCTTTACCGTTGATGGATATTACGCCTTCGAAGCTAGGATACGTATTGTGGTCAAGCCGCTTGTGTGATATAACGCACACGGACGCTAAACCCACACGAAGGCCCGAACCCTAAGCACAGCGCTTCCATGGCCGCATCCACGTCGGCGGCGGCGGCGGCGGCTGCCGCGCGGAAGGGCGCGTTGACGGATAAGAGGTTCTCGGAGCTGTCCCCCGCGCTGTCCCCGGAGGTGGTGGAGGCCCTGGACCGCGGAGGCTTCCAGCGGTGCACGCCCGTGCAGGCGGCGGCCATCCCGCACCTGCTATCGCACAAGGACGTCGCCGTCGACGCCGCCACAGGCTCCGGGAAGACCCTTGCCTTCATCGTCCCCGTCGTTGAGATCCTCCGCCGCCGCTCCTCCCGGCCCAAGTCCCACGAGGTCGCCTCACTGCTCCTGACCTCCAACACATCCTCTGCTCTGATCTTCTGCTACCTCTGACAAAAATCTGCACCCTTTTTCTCACTTTCTGATCAATAAATGAATCGATATGTTATATTTTTGCAGGTTCTTGCTCTCATTATCTCTCCCACGAGAGAATTGTCCTCGCAGATATTCAATGTGGCCCAGCCCTTCTTCGCGACCCTGAATGGCGTGTCGTCCATGCTCCTGGTGGGTGGGTTCGATATCAAAGCAGAGCTCAAGAAGGTAGAGGAAGAGGGCGCAAACATACTGGTGGGCACTCCCGGGAAGTTGTGTGATATAATGCACACGGACGCTCTAGAGTACAAGAATCTTGAGGTGGTTTCAGAGACAAGGGAACTCTTCGTGTGATTCTTTTCTTCTGAATTTGGTGGAAATGCTGTGGCATTGATGTTATCTCCATTCGTTTTTGTGTATGCATGGGAAGCAGATTTTGATCCTAGATGAGGCTGATAGACTCTTGGATATGGGATTCCAGAAGCATATTAACTTCATACTTTCAATGTTACCGAAGCTGAGGAGGACTGGCCTTTTCTCAGCTACCCAGACGAAAGCTGTTTCGGACCTATCCAAAGCAGGGTTGAGAAATCCCATAAGGGTTGAGGTTAAGACAGAGGCAAAGTCCACAAGCAAAGATGCTGGTCAGCAAGAGCTTGGTCCATCCAAAACACCATTGGGGCTTCGGTTAGAGGTGCATTCAATATACTTTGTTTTTGTCATGATCATGTGTTTTTTCTTGATGAATTCTAGCTGTTCCCTACAAAATCATAAGCTTGTTTTGGTGCAGTATATGATATGTGAAGCATCAAAGAAGTCATCTCAGCTTGTTGATTTCCTTGTGCAGAATAGTGGGAAGAAAATAATGGTGTAAGTACATGATGAACTGAAATTTGTGTTTAGCTACTTATTCTTAGTTGTGTGTAGCATTGTGCTAACTTTTGAACCCTCCTATCCCGATTGATTGCAGGTATTTTGCAACATGTGCTTGTGTAGATTATTGGGCTGTTGTTCTTCCACTGATTAATTCGCTTAAAGGTTCTCCAATAATTGCTTACCATGGGAAGATGAAACAGGTTGGTAGAGCAAAGCACTTTGTTTCATGCTCCCCCTGTCCAAAAATATGAGGCACATTTTGACCGTCTAGAAGTGAGTTTTGACCAGAGATTTCTCTTTGAATATTTTAGTAATAGTTTTACAATCACAACAGTAAGAATGTACGGTTGAATATGAATCCAATTGTATCAATTTTCAATCACATATTATTCTTATATTAATTTGTTGGTCAAACATGGATTTGGACAGTCAAAACATGCCTTACATTTCTGGACGGAGTGAGTAATTTTTACTATTTAATATTTTTTTAGAGTAATAGGGCATCACATTACAGCATTTGGATGTGATACAAGTGGTATTCTAATGACTTGCTTCCCAGTGGTTTCTTCATACTGATTTCATCTATCCTTTTTTTCCTAATATGTAGGGCCTTCGAGAGAAAGCTTTGGCATCATTTTCTGCTCTTTCAAGTGGCGTTCTAGTCTGCACTGATGTTGCAGCAAGGGGTCTTGACATACCAAGTGTTGACCTGATTGTTCAGGTTATATTCTGCTCTTTCCTCCCTAAATTTGAATATTCATGTCCAGGCATCAGCTGATAGTAAGGATGCATGTTTGTTCATCCAGTATGATCCACCTCAAGATCCCAACGTTTTCATACATAGAGCTGGCCGTACAGCACGTTATGATCAAGAAGGGGATGCTATTGTGTTTCTCTTACCAAAGGTATTTTGTTCTGTGATGAGTTTTCTCGTTGTTCATTCTAGAAGTGAAAGTAGTTCTTGTATTTATTTGCTATATGCGCATGTCTGTGCAGTTCTTGTTTAGCAAAAAAAGAACATAAGGTTACTTGCACTGCAGGAGGATACTTATGTTGAGTTCTTGAAACTTCGAGGTGTTCCTCTCACAGAAAGGGAATGTCCTGCAAACACTGATGATGTCATACCGCAGGTGGGTTCTCTTGTACAAATATCGTTTAGAGATAGAGAGGTACCTTAGGTTTTGGTCCAAATACCACTTGAAATGTCAGTGATATCATGCTATGGTAACATAGAAAGGTTACCCTGCTTAGGAGACCAATTCTAATTATTAATTATAACCAATATGCCACTTTGGGCTGCAGATTAGAAGTGCTGTGCTCGAAGATCGTAATGTCATGGAGAAAGGACTTAGAGCGTTTGTCTCGTTTGTTCGAGCATACAAGGAGCACCACTGCTCTTACATTTTTAGGTGGAAAGATCTCGAGATTGGAAAACTAGCTATGGAGTATGGTTTACTCCAGATCCCATCCATGCCAGAAGTGAAGCATCATTCTCTTTCACTGGAGGGATTTATTCCTGTTGATGATGTTGATATTACACAAATCAAGTACAAGTAAGAACTCTATCCCCAAACATAACGTATTTTGCTTTTTTTTGCTGTCCTGTTTTTAAGTAACAGCTAATTTGTTGTGTTGGATCTTGTAGAAAATGAAATATCTATATTTGAATGAAAATCTGTGGATCGTCCACATTTGAATGATAATGTTTGAAATATGAATTCTTCCTCTGTCCTGAGTCCTGACAAAGTAAAAACTCAAATATCTTCCATCAGTTTTTTGTGATTTCAAGTGATCAAGTCTGCATTGAGGCTGCTTTTTCCTTTTTTTCCAAAACCCACCCAACAATTCATAGTCGAAAGATGGTGCTTTTGTGTGGTAGTATCACATTGGAGTTTACATGATTTTCTGTCTTGCTTCACTGCAGGGATAAAGCTCGAGAGAAACAACGCAAGAAGGCACTGAAAAGGAAAGCAGAAGAGGAAGCTCAAAATCCAAAGCCAGAGAGGAAGAGAGCTCCAGAGAAGCCGGAGAAACCAAAGCGGAAGAAGACAGGCAAGCAGCGTCAGTCAATCCAAACCAAGGAGGACCTGGATGAGCTGGCGCATGAGTACCGGCTTTTGAAGAAGCTTAAACGTGGAGACATTGATGAAGAGGAGTACGAGAAGCTCACTGGGTTTGGAGATTCTGATGGTGATGCTTCCGATGGGGATGCGAGCAACTTGGACGAGAGGAAGGAGAAGGGCAACAAGACGCAGAAGCTCAAGCAGAGAGGAAAATGCAAAGGTGGGTCTAAGAAGCTTGAAGGGAGGAGTAAAATGAGGAGCAAAAGGAGATAGGAAAGCATGGAATGTTGTTGGATAAATATATTTTTGGAAATCCTGATCCAATTTTACAGCAGTTGGGATTTTGCACAGAAGCTATGCATGCCCCACGGCTAGCTAGGGCCTTTTTCTTTGGTTTGATGATTGATGGGGGAATTTACATTTTTACCATTATTACGAGTGGCGCTCATCCGATTGTCACCCTTAGAATGACATTTACAACTTTGTCAGATGAGAGAAGTTTGAGTTTTGGGTTTACCACATTTGCGCATGTGGCAAGCCACGCCAGCCCGACACGCTGGCGCCTAGTCAGCAGGTAAAATGTCATCGCTGCTCCTGCCTGTTTTGTTCATTATGCCACGTCGTGCCCTTCCTCCCTATCTCCTTCGCTCATTTCGCCCCCCCCCGCGTCATCGTCGGCAACGCATTCTTCCCCGCTCGCTGTCCCCTCCCGTCGTCCTTGTGCCATGGTGGCCATGTCGCACAGGGCGGAGTCGTCCAGCGCCACTACGGTGGTCAGGAGGTAGGAACGAGGCGGGAGCTCCATGTGCGTGCATGCTGTGGCGTATTCGGTCGGTAAAGAAACTGGGCTTCCTTTGATTCCATGTCCCGATTGCAATCTGGCCCGTGTGATCGAGCTTCGCGTCAAGCAGGATACTCCCAACAAGGGGCGGAGCTTCTTCAAGTGCCCCAGGAATGGGGTCAGTTGTTCTGTGTCTCCATCCCTCTCTGTTTCTTTGTTTGCAAATCTAGGGTTTAACAGTTATGAAATGGTGGTGTTTGCATAATCCGAAGTTATGTGGCTTCTACATATTCCAGAAGGAGTACCTAGATGAGTTGATTCATAAGAAGATCGTCATTATCAAGTGTGAGCAGGTCGACGAACTAGAAGAAGGATCGGAGGGCAGTGAATATGGTAACGACCAGGATGAGGGGAACAAGGACCTGGAGAAGAAGTTGGAGAACCTGACATGGAAAATGAACGGTTTCCTTGTTTTTGTTGGTATTGTTGTGTTAGCAATGGTTGTGAGATCAGTTGTAATGACCTGAATTTAGCAATGTGTTTGTAGAATCCGAAATGAACAAGATGTATGAACCATTTGCAATGAAACTGTGTTGGCCGTGTTGTCCTATTTGTTGTCCTATTTGTTTCACTAATGTAGCTGTTGGAAACTGAGAATTGTGAATAGATCTGTAATATGTGCATCAAAACATATGACACTCAAGGCACATTCTGGCCATGGAAAATAAGATACAGGCAAAATAACAATGACAGATAGAGGCCAATACATAAGGTAGGTGGCCATTACATAAGGTAGCAAATTGTGGGCATACATAGAGTTTTTCGCCCATTACACTGAACATGTCAAACTTGGGTCATTACTTTTGTGCCCATCATTACATAATAAGGCCATGCAAAAGATTGTTTTGGCCATCTCATCACATAATAAGGTAGCTCATATTGTTTTTGCAAAATAATAGGAGTTCATGATCTTGGCAAAAAAGACCAGTCAGGCTGCTGAGTTTCTCTTTCCTCCTCTTTTCTTCTAGGGTGTCTTCTTCACCTTAGTTGCCAACTGCTTCTTCCTAGGAATCATCTTCCTAGCTGGCTGCACTTCAACTTCTAGTGTATTTTCAGGAAATAAGGACCTGTGGAAAACAAACTTTTATTGGTGACTAATGTATTGCACAGGAAATCCATACACATGCACTTCACTGTGAGTTGAAGAAGAACAATACCTCCTAGCTGTTGTTGTCTGAATAGCTGACTCTGGTACTACTACTTCTAAAGCCATTACCTCCTTGACTTCTTCATGTGCTTGAGTTGCTAAAAATTCATTCCATGTAGCCTGTGCTTCTTCCCTTGCTGCTGTAGCCTTCAGCTCTGCTTCTTGAGCCTCCCTCTTAGCTTTTGCTGCTGCTTCCCTTGCAACAGCTGTTCTGGTCCTTGGAGTTGTTGCTTCTCCAGTAGTAGTACCTTTCTTGGTTTTTTTCCTCCCAACCTTGACTGTGGTTTTCTTTGTTCTCTTCCTGCAATAGTGATAGGATCAGCTTCATATAGTAATGTAAGAAATGAAAAAGAGTTCAGAAGTTACCTTTTCTTGGTGCCAGTGAGTGAACATTTCCAGCTATCACCCCTATGACCATACTCATTGCAGTTAGGACACCTCACTTGCCTGATTGCCTTACCACCTGTCTCCCTTGCAGACTTGATCCTATTTTTCCTCAGTCTTCCTTGTTCTCTCTTCTTCTGGCATGGAGGGTATAGTTTGAAGCCTTTGTCCACCTCAGGCCACTGGTTCCTATCAGTGATGTTAGGAATTATGCCATCATATGCTGCTTGGAACTTTTGAACTGAGTAATACTGGTCCACAAATTGCCCCATGTCTGGTTGCCTGCTACTGGTAATCATAGCCAAGGCATGTGGACATGGTGGATGTCATCTTAGAATTTACTTCTAGCCCACAAAAAAGGATGATGCTCTATCAGCCATTTCTGCACATATGGACTAGCTTCCAAGACTTTATCAAAGAAATACTTGAATTTGTGTGCTGAGTAGGCTCTAGCTGCAGGCCACATGTTTTTGCCATACACATCACCACTATAGTATTTCTTCATGTTCTCCATTAAGTGCCTGAAGCATTCTCTCATCTCTGCCTGTGGAAAGACTATTCTGACAGTTGACTCCAACCCTTTACATGCATCAGTGCAGATAGCTAGCTTATCCATAGGACTAATGGCCTTCCTAAGTTGTTCCATAAACCAGACCCAGTTTTCCTTTGTCTCTGAGTCAAACAATCAAAAGGCCACAGGAAACATCCAATTATGGCCATCTATAGCTAAGGCTGTAGGCATGTGGCCATTCCACATCCCATTGAGTGTTGTGGAATCTACACTGATGTAAGGCCTGCAACCATTCAAAAATCCATCTATACTAGCTCTGAATGCACAAAAGAATCTGCTAAACCTAATTTTCCCATCCTTAGGATCAGTGACAGTATCTATTGTAACACCCTCGATGTTACACCGTAAATCATTTACTAAAACATGTCATGAGCATCATGTTTATGTGTTAATGCATATGATAAAGTGTGTAGATCAATTTCTGTAACTCGAAACGATCAACTAAAATTGCAAAACGAAAGTTGATTCGATAGTCATGTTATATCACTTAAGGTTAAAAACCAATTTTTATTAAGCAAAAATGCTATAGAACATATATGGGTCACCTTAATAAAGTTGAAAGTACAAACTTTGTAGATGATAGTGAAATAATTGTGGTTGAAAAATAATGTTACTAGCTGGTATTTCTAATAGTCTAGAAATGGAACTTGAAATCAAATTCAGCTAAAAAACTTAGAAATTTTCATCTACCAACAGTTAGACACTACTATGTTTAGCAATTTATTGTGAGAGATTGGGTTAAGGAGTGGTGTAGTGTTATAGCTCGATTTGGTAGTCTCATGTGCCATCTTGAGCATGGTGAAGACGGTTTAGGTTTAGGAGCAACCGTTTGGTCGTGTTGAGCGCTTTAAAATTCGTGCATGTCACGGTTTTAGGCTGGTTGGCCATGTGACCGCGATCACCGCGCTCGGGAGCTCGGCGTCGTTGCATTGATCGCGCGTGTGCGTGCGTGCGCTGCCATGTGTGGCCGCCTCTGGCATGGCTAGGTCTCTGTTGCCGCTGGCCCCGCCGCGCGAAGCCGCTACCACTGCTGCTGCCGACTGCCCCGCACACGCAGCGACGGAGCCGCTGCTGGTGCCATAAACTCATCGTCGTGTCTGCACTGCCAACCCACCTCGCATCGCGATGCTGACGCTACCGATGCCACTACGAAGCTGTGTTGCTACCGCTTGCCTTGTCCTAGTTCGCACGTGGGCTGCCCCGCGTCGTCGTCCTGCCTTAATGGCGCTGCGGCCGCGCCTGCCGCGCCCCCACCTGCCTCCGCGCGTGCGCACATGGTTTGGTCGCATTGCCGTGTAGCGGGTGCGCAGACGTCGCCTTAAGTCTGGTCGGTCGCGTCCCGCCAAGGCATGGACGATCCGAACCCACTGCCGTGCCCCGTCTCTCTCTCCATCTGTTTTTCGCCGCCATCGGGTCACGTCACGGTGAGCCAGAGAGCGAGCACCTCTCATCAATTTCTTGTGCTCGCGTCTCCGCCCTCATGTCTCCTCTCTAGCCGACCCCACCCCGCCTTGACTCATGTCACGCCGAGCTCCAATTTTGGAGCTTACCGCTGCCGTGCCGTTAAGGCCCGTCGTCGCCCACATCATGGCCAGTCTCTACCACTTCGTCCTGCGCCAATTCCTCTACACCACTAGCTTGCCTTGGCTCCCTCTTTATCATGAGCACGCTAGACACAGCTCTAGTGCCGCCTCCTCACCGCTGATGTGCCGTGCCTTTGTGGTCCGCCGTTCACCTCGCCGCGTGTACGTGGCCAGCCTCGCTCGGGTCATCTCCGGTCGAGCTAGCTTCTCGGTAAGGTCATTGGTGAGTTGTCGTTGCTCACCCGTTACCCCTACCGCCTTGTTGTTACTGCGGCTCACCTAAACACCGTCGCCAATGCCGCGGTGTGCCCGCCGTCGTGGAGAGGTCCTTCTACGGTGTCCCGGCTCATGCAACCGCCGCCCATCATCTCGTGTCGAACCCTAGGTGAGCATTGGCCTCGTAGATAGGTCATCGTGGGTCCAGTGTGGCCAGCGTGAGCGCCAGTGCCACCGCTCGCTGCGCCGGCGCGCACGAGAATGGTCGAGGGACTTGCCGTTGTAAAGAGGAGAAGATCCGAGGGTTTTGTTGCAAAGTCGCTGACTATAGAAATAGTAACGTGGACTACGAGTTGTTTTGCTCATAGTCCAGAGGCGTTTTCGCTAATGTGCCAGCGCGCGCAGGCTTCCTCGCCGTGGGCCGCCTCGTGTGCGTGGACCGGTGCCGCGTGGGCCGCATCGTGGGCCGCCATGTTGTCGCGCGCGCGTGCGTTGCGCGTGTGTGGGCCATGTTGGGCCAAAATCAATTTA